TATATATATATATATATTGCTTAAGGGGGTTAATGATTTTAACCTTAAAATGGTTTTAAATACAATTAATACAATTAAGAAAAAAATATTATAAGACATACTGTGAAAAAATTCCTTGCTCCGTTAAGCATCATGTGGAAAATATTTGAAAAAGAAAAAAAATCACAGGAAAGCTAATAATTTTGACGTTAATTATACTTAATTATATAAACATCCTTTTTTTTTCAACAAGAAAAAAAAGAAACTCATTTTCATTTTCGGGTGAACTGTCCCTTTAACAGCAGCCTCTTTGAAATCACCATGAAATAACTTTCATTTGTTTCCATAGAGCCCAAGTGTCAGTGATGGTGAGAAAGGAAATGATTCACACTTGTTAAAGAGAAAATCACATTATTCTGTCTGACACATTACATATGTCTATCTATGGTTGACTTGGTGTAACACAAGCTACAGTTGAAGTCCCAATTATTAACTCTCCTGTGAATTTATTTGTTTTCTTTTTTTTTAAATATTTCCCAAATGATGTTTAACAGAGCAAGGCATTTTTCATATTATTTCTGATAATAGTTTTTCTTCTGGAGAAAGTCTTATTTGTTTTATTTAAAAATAAAGATTTATTAAGTATTTATATGTATTTTATAATTCTTAATATATTTATTTAAGAATAAAAACAGTTTTCATTTATTTTTAAACTATTGTAATGTCAATATTATTAGCCCTCTTATGCAATATTTTTTTTGATTGTCTACAGAACAAATCATTATTATACAGTGCATCTGGAAAGTATTCATAGTGCTTCACTTTTTCAACATTTTTATAGTATAGTCTTTATTCTATAATGGATTAAATTAATTTATTTCCTCGACATTCTACACTAGTTTGACAATACCCCATAATGACAATGTGGAGAAAGATTTTTTGAAATTGTTGCAAATTTAATAAAAATAAAAAGCCTGAAAAAATCACATGTACATCAGTATTCTCAAAACATTGTTAATGCACCTTTAGCAGCAATTACAGCCTTAAGTGTTTTTAATAAAATGCCACAAGCTTGGCACACGTGTCTTTGAGGATTTCTGGCCATTTCTCTTTGCAGTGATTCTTAAGATCTATCAGCTTGGATGGGAAGCGACGATGTACAGCCATTTTCAGATCTCTTCAGAGAGATTTAATAGGATGTAGGTCTGGGCTCTGGCTGGGCCACTGAAAGACATTCACAGAGTTGTTGTGAAGCCACTCCATTCATATTTTGATGGTGTGCTGTGGGTCATTGTCCTGCTGGAGGATGAACCGTTGCCCCAGTCTGAGGTCAAGAGCACTCTAAAGCAGGTTTTGAATCAGGATGTCTCTGTACATTGCTGCGTTCATCTTTCCCTTTATCCTGTTGTCTTCCAGTTCCTGCTGCTGAAAAACATCCCTACAGCATGATGCTGCCACCACCATGCTTCACTAGGGATGGTCTTAGCCTGGTGATGAGCAGTGCCTGGTTTTCTCCATTTCTGGAGACTCCATTTTAGTCACATCAGACCAGAGAATTTTGTTTCTGATGGTCTAAGAGTCCTTCAAACATCTTTAGGCGAATTCCAGGCGAGCAATGGCTTCTGTTTGGCCACTCTACCATACAGGCCTGATTGGTGGATTGCTGCACAGATGTTTGTCCTTCTGTAAGGTTCTCCTCTCTTCACATAAGAACGCTCAGACAAAGTGACCATCGGTTATAGATTACTTCCCTGACTAAGGCCTTTCTTCACCGATCACTCAGCTTAGATGGTCGGCCAGCTCTGGGAAGAGTCCTGGTGGTTCCAAACATCTTCCACTTATGGATGATGGAGGCTGCTGTGCTCATTGGAACTTTCAGAGCAGCAGAAATGTTTCTGTAACCTTCCCCAGCCTTGTGCCTGGAGACAATCCTGTCTCTGAGGTCTACAGACAATTCCTTTGTCTTCACGCTTGGTTTGTGCTTTGACATGCACTGTCATCTCTGAGGCCTTATATAGACAGGTGTAGCCTTTTCAGAACTTGTCCAATAACTGAGTTTACCACAGATGAACTCCAATTAAACTCCTGAAACATCTCAGGAATGATCAGTGAAGCAGAATGTACCTGAGCTCAATTTAGAGCTTCACTGCAACGGCTGTGAATACTGATGTACAGAAATTGGGGAGCTAATAATTCAGGAGGTCTAAGCCTTCTGACTTCAACAGTAACCAACCCAGGCTCATAATGAAAACTTAGTCCTGGAGACGTTTATGGAGACCGCGAATTACGTCTCGGAAGGTACGTATTTTTGCAGTTTTTGTTTTCGTGAATCCACAAGAGGCCGCTGTGTGTGCTTTTTTGTATCTCAAATGTCTTTCGCGAGTGCCGTTCACGCCCGCGCTGTTCTCGCGTAAACTTACCAGAGGCCGCTGTTGACAGACCGTCTGTCTGACTGACTGAATGATTGACTGGGCGACCGGCCAATCGACTGACCCACCCAATTAATTTTACCGATTGACCCGCCCACCTGCTTACTTCCCTAAACCCAACAGACGATTTACAAAAGCCGTGCAGAAAGCCCTCGTCTGATTTTTACCACATTTTGGGATTTTACCACATTCTCACCCTGTTAAGAACTTGTTCACTTTATTTTTTGGACTCTTTTTTTGTCTTACCTGATTTCTGGAACAGCTCTTACCCAGTCTTGAACCCGGTCGTTGAACCCGAACCCCCTCTCTGCATCTCAAGTTTGCCGACATACACGACGAGCTAACTGGACAAACTGGTTGCAGCGGGAAAGCCCTCCACATGGAGGTATGCGGTCAGCCGGTAAGTGCAAAAAGAAACGGCATCATACCGCCCTGTAGTGGTCACTTAAAAAATGAAATGCAGCCATACATACCTACATAATTCACAGTCTCCAGAAACGTACACAGGATTACGTTTTCAGAATGAGCCTAGTTTGACAGTAACACACATGAGAGCACATTAACAGAGACTTTTATTTAAAAACATAAAGCACACTCCATAACCATGATGTCTCTGTGTTATACTGCAGTGACTCTGGGAATGGTTCAGGTAGTGTTCTGCTGTTGTGGATAAAAGACAGCAGAGTTGAGTGGGAGCTTTACAGGTGTCTGTGTGCCACTGTGTGTCTTTGGCAGGTGTTTTGGAGCTCATTGTTCGCTCTCTGTTTACCCAGATTGGCTTCCTGTTGTTCAGAGCTGGCAGATCCACAGAGGTTTCTAAAGGGTTTTAGTGAGCCAAGCTGAAGCTGCTGACTGTTGTTTACTACATTACCCACAATCCCCAAGGATCTGCTTCTGCCGTGCTGGAAAACACTAGACAGACCAAAAGCTGCACCGATAATAGGATTAACTATTAAAAAGAAAAGAATGAAAGTGTTCTTGTTTAAATTAAGATTTTAGAAATAAAACTAATAATATTTGAAGGTAATATTATAAGCCCTCTTGTGAAATTTGATAGGTTTTCGTGTTATTGTTTTTATTTCCCAGGTGCTGTTTAAGGGATGGAAATTTTAAACACACTTTAAAAATAGTTTTAATAATTAAGTTCCCCCAAAAAAATCTAATTTCTTTTGTCATTGCCATGATTACAGTACATAACATTTTACTATATATATTGCAAGATACTAGTATTCAGCTAAAAGTGTAATTTAAAGACTTAACTATTAGGTTAAAGGTACTGCATGTAAGTTTTTGACTCTTCTAAAGTCTAAAAATACTGTAATTTGTTTGCAGATATATAAGAAACATGCTAAATGAACATTCTTATTTATCTGGAAAACGTCGCTAAAGTCAGATATTCTGAAAATGTGTGTTACTTGTCTTTGTTTTGTCCGTTTAACCCGCCAACTGTCCCTTTAGCCAACTATATTTTAACTCTCCGGGTTGCCTTGTTGGAAAATTGCATATTTCATTTATTCATTGAGGAAGGCTTTCAAAATAAGCGTCTGTGACCAAAATGTGACATCCTGTGGACAGTAGCAGCCTCTGAAATGAGATGCAGATTCAGAGTTCCACATGAGGTGGTTATTAATTAGCAAATAATATAATATTACTAATGTAAACATTAGGTGGGCAGGTTACATTGTAACCCTGCGTCCTAACAACACACTATGTGATGAGATTTGCAGTGATTAGCAATTTGGCTGTTTGCACCAGTTGAAACATGACAGAAATGTGCACAGCACAGAATATGCACTCACGAATAAGGTTTATAATCTGATTAATACATACACTTTAAAAACTCCGAGGTAATTTTATGTTTGGGTAATTTTTGTAGGTTAATTTCTTAGTCTTGGGTAGTTTTTGGGAAGTGCTATGTAATAACTGGGTTATTTTCTGAGTAATTATTGCTAATTATTAACTAATTTTCCATCCATCCATCTATCGATGCGTCCATCCATCCATCCATCCATCCATTCATCCATCTATCCATCCATCCATCTATCCATTCATCCATCCATCCGTATATAAAACCTTTTTAAAATTATTAAATTTAGATGCGGAATCACTGATGTGTGTTGGTTTGCATTATTTAGTTCAAAAGTTGAATTTCAAATGGTTTATAATATTTTCAAGATCCGGTGATCAAGGTAAGGTGAACTATCTGCTGCTGCTTTCAGTAGTATGGTAATAAATGTCAGGTAAAATTGTATTTATTGTTAGCATTTAACACTGAATAAAGCACATGAGGTGTACCTGAGGTGATCATCTCATCACGTTTATTCTGTTGTTCAGCTGTGAGAAATAGAAGCCGTTTCTAAAATATACATTTCAAGTGTTGTTTAGAACAAAATCTCATTTTAATATGAATATATTCATTCAATCGTGTGCCATTGCTTTTATTTAGAACACGACTTAAATCAGCTTTTAGTAAAGTCAGGCACACTCACATCAATCTGGCAACCTGCACTTGCGTGTTTTGAACCAGGAGTGCAATACCTAGTTCAACCATTGGGTGTCAAACTTACATACTGCACTTTTAACTAAGCAGGTTAGCTTAATTATGCAAGTCTCTGGGCAACATATAATCTACCGCTTACAGTATTTTAAGTTATTCTCAAGACATTGTATTCTAATTTCAGGCTTAACCTTCTACGGCATGGGGTTGCCATATGGCAACATGCTATTTATATTTATTTCCCGTTTTTCTTTAAGACTAATGTTCTATTTATTTTATTTTATTTTTAAAGAGACCTTAGTTTAGCCAATGATGTTCTTTGGTTAAGTCACATGACGTGCAGTGTTTTTCTGACAGACACAAATTTCTCTTGCAAGTGCCATTTGCGCCTGCTTTTCTTGCATAAATCCAGCAGAGGCTGCTTTCGACTGACTCATTGACCAACCGATCGATCCACCCATCCAAACCCTTCCCCAGTGGTTCCCTACCAGGCCGCAGACTGGTACTGGTCCGTGGATCAGTTGGTAGCACAAGAAATCATTAATTATTTCCATTTTAATCATTATTAGTCTGAAAGATCTAAAAGTCTTTTATTTTGAAAAAATTTCCATATTCTCTTGATTACATCCCTTTCACTTGAGTGCCCAAATTTAACCCACAAGCAGCAAAATGAGTAGGATGCCTTTGGAAAGTTTCTCTGCTAAGGGGAAAAGGCCTAGTGAAGGACCCACGAACTGTCAAGGAATGGATCCTCAACCCATTTGTCAACACATCAGGTAAATCCACCATGTCTGTGCAAGAAGATCAACCGATGGAGAACACAAATGATGGCAGCCTTTTAGGGGCCGTTCACATATTGCGTCTTTTTTAGAGTTCGCACAAGCTTGCTGTTTCCAATGGAGGTGCACGGCTTACGTACACAAACGGTGTGAGACCAAACCAGACACATCTAGTTGAATGAATCCTGTGAGTGCACTGCGAGTCACATGACATAAATTGACCATTCAGCTTCAGGAATATACATATTTTGGTAAGACTTATTATCTCAGACAAACACAGAACACCCAAACACTGCAGTGTTTTATATTTTTTTTCTATAAATAAAACTTGAATCAGAGTGACAGCAGTGTTTGTTTTGCAACATTGTCAATCGTTGACCGGGCCACTGTGATAAAAAGGTTGAAAAAGAAATGGTGTTATACCACCCTGTAGCATTCGTTTTGAAGAAGAAATGCAGCCATTCGTTGCTCTGGCTACATAATTCATGATCTCCAGAAATATATATAGGGTCACGTTTTCAGAATGAGCCTATGTTGAAGAAATCAGTAATTAAAAACTAGTTGTGAAAACTAATATGTTTAAAAAATCTTCTTTCTGTTACACAGAAATTGGGGGAGAAATGTACAGCGGGGCGAATAATTTATTAGGGCTAATCATTCTGACTTTTTTTTATGAACCCATTTAGATATTTTCTCCTTTCCTATCTTGAATTATAGGCTCGTTCTAATAGGCTTCATCACACAGTCAAAGCTAATTGCACTGTCTAGTCTGTCATTTTTTCCCCTCCACTTCTATTATTGCTGCCCTCTTCTGAAATATTCTTCAAGAAATGTTGAGCTGCAGTGCTGAAGAATCTGTCTGTCTCGCTGTAATTGATAAGCATGCTGGAGCTTGAACAGTGTTTTTTACATTCATACATATTTGATCTGAAGCCGGAATGGCTGCCCATCATCAGTGTGGTGAGATCACTTCCTCTGCAGGGCTCCTCGCTCCCGCTGGCACTGATTGGCAGAGGGGAAAAAGTAAGCTTTACTTGTTTTGTTCCTCCTGAAATGTCAGCTCTTTGATGCACGCAGCAGCAATATGAAGCACACGAGGAGAGTGAGATATTCAGGGAGTATGAATCACACACGTGTTATTGGTGTCACAGAGATTCTAGTTTTTGTTAGGTGTTGAATTGTTTTGTCTTTTTTTTTCTTACTTTTTTGTTTATCATCATTATATAGATATAGATATATGGATGGATGGATGGATAGACAGACAGACATGGATGGATAGATAGATAGATAGATAGATAGATAGATAGATAGATAGATAGATAGATAGATAGATAGATAGATAGATAGGTAGATAGATAGATAGGTAGGTAGGTAGGTAGGTAGGTAGGTAGGTAGGTAGGTAGGTAGGTAGGTAGGTTGGTAGGTAGGTAGGTAGGTAGGTAGGTAGGTAGACAGACAGACAGACAGAGCAATGGATAAAGTAGTGAATGAATTAATGGACAAAACAATAGATATAATGATTGATGGATGGATGGATGGATGGATGGATGGATGGATGGATGGATGGATGGATAGACAGACAGACATGATAGATAGATAGATAGATAGATAGATAGATAGATAGATAGATAGATAGATAGATAGATAGATAGATAGATAGATAGATAGATAGATAGATAAAGCAATGGATTAATTAATGGAAAGAACAATAGATAGAATGATAGATGTATAGATAGATAGATGGATTGATGGATGGATAGATAGACAGAGGGATGGACAGACAGATGAGACTGATAGATTAATAAGATAGACAGTTGGAAGGAACAAAAAGATAGATCGATAGATTGATTCATTGAATGAATGCATAGAACAATAGATAGAACGATAGATGGAAAGATGACTAGATTGACAGACAGACAGACAGACGATAGATAGATAGATAGATAGATAGATAGATAGATAGATAGATAGATAGACAGACAGACAGACAGACAGACAGACAGACAGACAGACAGACAGACAGACGATATAGATAGATAGATAGATAGATAGATAGATAGATAGATAGATAGATAGATAGATAGATAGATAGATAGATAGATTGATTGATTGATTGATTGATTGATTGATTGATTGATTGATTGACTGATTGATTGATTGATAGATAGATAGTCAGATAGATAGATAGATAGATAGATAGATAGATAGATAGATAGATTGATTGATTGATTGATTGATTGATTGATTGATTGATTGATTGATTGATTGATTGATTGATTGATTGATATATAGATAGATAGATAGATAGATAGATAGATAGTCAGATAGATAGTCAGATAGATAGATAGATAGATAGATAGATAGATTGATTGATTGATTGATTGATTGATTGATTGATTGATTGATAGATAGATAGATAGATAGATAGATAGATAGATAGATAGATAGATAGATAGATAGATAGATAGATAGATAGATAGAATGGTAGATGAATGCAATGGTAGATGGATAGAGTGATGGATCAAAACTCACAGGTATTGCAATATTTCATTTAAAAGCCTATTAACTGATATAAAATTGTAGAATGCACATACTTCATAATGTTATGATGCATTATTCAACTTGTTGCATTTTAAAATGACTTGTGGACAA